GGCCAAATATGAAATTGTAATTAGTTTATTAGCAACACAGTACTTTGCTTTGGGTTTGTTGATCAGCAGCAAGAGTAGGTGAAACTAATTATAGCCACATTTACCTGTTTGAAGTTTCTTCATTTTTAGAACCAGAATAATGACTACTATAGTGAGTAAACCAGTCAGACCAGCCAAGATGATGCTCAATGGTTGGGTCGTTTTGTTGCACTCTTCTAAACAGTGTGGTTAAGATATATTTTTACAAGATGCTGAAAGTACTGCACAGTGAAGATTAAAATCTTTCCACTCATCACGGAATCTCACCTTCAGTCATAAAATCCTCTCCTTCACTGGTTTCACCACCTGTGACCATGATTGTTGTATTATTTTACAATTTGCTGTTTGTAGTTACTGTGTTTCCACATGACATGATGAGAAACACTAAAGTTGCAAAGAAAGGTTTTTAACCAAAACTCACCTTGAATTCTCAACTCTACCCTAGTGGAAATAATTATATGATAGTCCAAGAAAAATCCACAGAAATACAGGCCAGCATCAGACAGATCCACTGGCTTTATTTGAAGAAAGACGGCAACGTTGTTAGAAGTCACATTGAATTTTCCATTTTGAAATCCATCACAGAAAGAAGCTTGTCCATTGGAGCCATACATAGAGGCAATGCAGCTCAACGTAGCTCGGTTGACCACTCTGAACCACTCTGTATGCGTTGAACTTCTGGAAATGTTGGAGCACTGCAGTGTGACTTCTTCACCAGACTGGACCTCCACAGTCTGAAATTCAGAACCAGAGACAGAGAGCCAGCCTGAAACAAACACAAGATTCATCCTAGAGAGCGCAGTACCAGAATATTGTAACAGTGAAACTGTTTTAATGAATTTGCGGTGTCCTAATAATCAAATTGAAATACTGGAAGGTTAGCTGTTGCATAATTTGGAGTAGAGAGTAGTAAGGTACCACTACTTACTTATGCCACATTGAAACAAAGCTGTTATAAAGATGAGGCTCCTCATTGTGTGATTAAATCTGCCACTGATCGGATAGTTTGTAACACGCAGCTCTTATAAGGGGTTTAGAGGGGCGGGGTGTTTTCCTTTAACTTGCCAGTGACCTATCGGTAGTGTGCAATGCCTCTGCATGTAGTCAAGTTTCATCTGTTTCAATAGAATACATAAAGGTTTTGTACATGGAGATTCCATGCTTTTCAGATGCAAAAAGAATATCTCCTATGAAATTTTTATTATTTTAAACTATTATCCTTTTCTAGTCCCTAAACATCTGGTATAACATGGAAAAGAATACCTGCAGTATCATTATGTTATATTGGGTACAGTTTTCTATGGTTTCTATTTGGAGTTTTCTTTTTGAGGCTGATATGTGTCCTGGTGAAGCTCACCAACATTTTCACATTTCTGGTGCACACTCAGGTCTTTCTTAAATTTTACATGTAAAACAAGTGTAAAAACTTGTGTTCTGGTTACATACCTGTTTCAGCTTAGTACATAGTTTAGCCAAGGTTTAGCCAAGGCTGTGTGTGTGTGTGTCTACATCTAAGGTAAAATGTGATTTTGTCTGTACAGACGCAAAAGTAGGTTTACATAGTTTTCTGGGCGATACAGTCATGAAACTTTACAGGCGTGTAGCTCAGTTCAGAGAACTTCTGTACATTAACATTAGCATTTTAATTATGCTGGTATTTTTGTCCCAGAAGTGAGAACATTTAGACAGGAGTGGATAGTGCTATGTTATGAATGCTAACATTAACAGGCTTGATTATTCAGCAGCATTTAAAAGTTACAGACAAGAATTACAAAAAGTACAATTTACAGTCATACCTGCCAACTACTAAACCTTTTTAGTTCATAGTGACTCCATGACCACAGAATCACATACCTGTTTTAGTATTTTTCACATGGTTCTTCATACAGCATTGTAGTTACACAAAGACCAAATCCTTAAAACTGCAATTTTAAGCATGTTGAGCATCGGCAATATTTTCATGGACCGGCCTTTAAGGTGTCGCAGATAAATACAACAGAAATAAAACTAGTACCGGTACCGAAAAAAAGAAAATTTATTCATAACGCACGTGAAAAGACCCAGGAAAACTGAGTAAACGATAAAAACAATAACAAAATAACGCTGAAAACCAATAAAAACCCTGAAAACTATACATTTCACACCTGAGCCTCAACTCTCGCGGCCCGGTACCAAACGACTCACGGACCGGTACCGGTCCGAGGCCCGGGGGTTGTGGACCGCTGCTATATTAGATACCAAAGGTTTAGTCCAGACTTATTGAAAGGACCGATTTTATCTAGTTATTTTGTCCCATTTATAAGCGCCTGTTTAAAGTTATTTTTAGAGCAATGCAGCACTTCCTTTTTATATATTTTTTAACTCAAGCCCAAGCTTGGAGAAGCCAAAAGGTATGGGTTTAATCCAATTTAATACAACTGAATCCTAAAAAAGTGAGAACTCATCAGATGCTTTTGAAACCTCTCAGCTTTGATGGCTTTCATTGTACTCTGTACTTCCTGTAATTTCTGGTTTGTGGAATGATGATACTGTGGTTTTTCCACCTTTGTCAGGAATGGGAATGCATCTTCCATACAACAGATAGAGGTGTTAAAGCATCCACAAACCTGATACACTGGGTTAGATGTCATAGTCTCTTAGACATGCTCTTAGAGGAGTGCTACTCACCATAGTTCATTTTCTTTTCTTTTGCTGAATAAAATATTTAAGGATAGCTTTTAAACAGCATCAGATTAAGAGTGTTGGTTATTTATTTGCTGATCATTTGAGTGATTACTAGTTGATAGACTGGGACAAAAAATCGGCCCTGGCATTTTTGGTCCTGGCAGCCCACCATGGTCACTCAAAAAGAAAAGAAAATAGGAAAAGAAGAATGTATATGTCATGCATACACATATTATGTGTATAGTTTGGACATTTAATGATTTTTCTTTCATACATCAAATATATGATGCAAAATATATGTAGCAAAGATTGATAAATAACTCTAAATATGTCTTACATTTTAGATTGCTAAAAGTAGCCACCCTTTGCTTTGTTGACAGCATTGCAAACCCTCGGCCTGCCCTCAGTGAGCTTCATGATGTGGTCACCTGAAATGGTTTTCCCTTCAAAATTTCCATCAATGTCGCCTGCTCTGGCCCCTGGAAGAAAATTGACTATGGCTGGTGGTGTCTCTAGCTTCACATGTCTCAGAACAGAATTGTCAAAAACCAAAGTTTGATCTCAGTCAAGTGTGTCGCCGAGTAGGGAAAAGCGTTTAGAGGCTGAGGAGTAACTAAACATCTGACACATGAACAGGAAAGTGCAGGAGGGACAGGTAAAGAGGCCATGCTGCTAGCTAGTCGGCTATGAGCTAAGCTAAGCTAGCAAAACCCTAAAGACACAGTGAGTGAATACTGTAACTATACATTTACGAGTGAAGCGAGTGTGCTACTGGTGAAGCACGTGAAGATTACACTGCTACGCATATAAGCTACCCAGCACATCACCGTTTGATGGAAAAGGCAGGAAGTGATACTCTACCACAGAAAGAGTGAACACCAAGTGACAGCGCCTCAACCTAGATATTTATACACACAGAAAGGTTTCTGAAAGTCAAAATTATTGGATTTATGAAGCTGAATTTAATAAATTGTGCATAAATTAGCAGTATTTATTTTCCCATTTGGATGTACGCATTTGTGAAATAGTTTTACGTGTAACCAAATTGCTGTGTATTTGTGGGTGGATTCAAGCATGTGCTTGGGAGTCTTCAGAAGTTGCACACAAATAATTGTACACATTCTTAAAGCTTAGTTTACACTTATGGATCATATGTTGCACATTTGCAACCCTTTTGAGACATATTTCTCTCAATACAGCAGCAGCATACTGTCACTGTGAGGCCAGGTTACTAGCTATAGCTGGTACTACTGGCAGCACTGACAGCTAACATGCAGGTTAATTTTGTACATTTTGCTGAATCTATTTTTAGTTTAGTTTCTTTTTATTGTTTTCTGTCAGCTTTTGACCTCCACCTTTCCACCACTTCTTCTAGAAGCTGCGTAAAAGGTTTGATTAGGCATTGTCCAGTGTAAGTAATGAAAAAGAAGGAATGGATTGCTGTCAGTGCTTGTACGGCCAGTACATCGGCCCAAAAGTGTGTTGGCCCACCAAGAAAATGCCCAGTAAGCCACATTACCAGTCCAGACCTGGTGATGCCCTGACTTTAAATCTATTTTCACAGTGCTTTTCATTTATGTTGATCTGATGTCTCAGCAACTCCTCCATGAATTTCAATGATATTTTATGACCCTGACACTTGGATTATGTGATGACACTAATCATTGATAAAGAACATTACTGAGAACACTGAGATATTTTTTAAATTAAAAACTTGTTCATAATATAGCCAAAATATGTTCTGTGTTTAATCTCTAACCATAGGCATTATGATTGTATAAAACTGAAGCAACTCGTGTAATAAAATGTTGAGTGACGTTGTTATTATTGCCCAATAAGTTTGTTTGACAGCCTAAGAAATTTAAAAGACATTGAAGATAAAGTTAAGACATGTAAACACAGAAAGCTAGTTTGAATCGATCGATCATTATTCTGTTGCTTTTATATCGTCCTCGAGCTCTGATTTTAGAGACCTTGTGGTTTTCACCTCAGCTCTGCTCACACCACACTGTGCTTTTCTTATTATCTGACTCCTCCAGACCATTAGACTCTGAGAAAATTGCATTAATCAGTTATTTCTGAATCTTCTTTATCATGTCTACGTTTTTCTTCTCAGACAACGTGAATAAATAAGAAAAACAAAGAGGCACAAAGCAGAGATTTAGAAGAAAAAACAACCTTGAATGCAAATTTTATTCATAATTTTATTTTTTTTCCAAGATTCATGTCACCCACAACACACACACAGAAATATATCAGCAGGTTATATTAATAAGAACTAATTCTTCTTCCTAAGTCTATCGTGTGGCAGCATACACAACGTTAGGCTCCGGCTCACTCTGTGTCGCAGGCCTCCAACTTCTTTTGGCTTTTGTCTGGAAACTCAGAGCTGCGTAGTTCAGATCATCTGAGTTCATGTTCTGAAAATTAAAATACTTTTTTAAACAGATGAACACAATCAACACAATCTGAAAAGTTTGTGGATTTGTGAGTCACATGACATAAGATTTCAGTAAGATTTTATTAGTTGAATTAAACAAGAATCAATAATGAGTCTAATGTCTTAGAGTGGTTGCATTAATTTTCTTTAAAACACTGTTTTGCAACTGATTTACCGGTTGCATCTGCATTTCACAAACTACATACAACTAGCTGTAATGTAAAGAACAGCAGAGCAGGAACAGACATCCCCAACAAAGTAACTTCTAACCCAACAGGAACATTTATTTTGAGACATATTTTAGAAGAATAATTTATAATAATAATCTAATATTTTTATAATTTTTTCTACACTAACTTTTAAAGTTACAATTGGTGTTAGAAATCTCACAGACAATGTATCATAATGGTGTATGTATTCCTTGTATTTTTGTGTATAATTTTTAAACTAAACTATTGCTTATTTGCAGCTATCATCAAGCTTTTTTTCTGCTGGGATTATTTTTTTACTTTTTTAAAATTTCTGTCAGATACTGATGAATGTGGTTAATGAGAAGAAAATACATGTGGATGCCATAGGTTGATATTAGTCATAGAATAATTACATGTTTAAATGCATCTTTTTAAATCATGACATGCAGTTCACACAATATGAGTAAAAACACATTTACCTTTAGTTCTTCACCCTTAGGTTCCGTAGCTAAACAGCAAATAGAAAATTGAGATGAGTTAATTTTCACAAACATATTTTTTATCTTCTTGTTTCAGTTTACTGTAGCAGGTGAAACAGTTACAGCCAAGTCTACCTGTTTGTAGGTTCCTGACTTTTAAAACCAGAACAATGACCACCATAGTAAGTAAACCAGTCAGACTACCCAGCACGATGCTCATCAGGTGTATGCATCTTTCAGGCTCTTCTACAAACATAATTGGAGTGGAATATTTCAGTCTGGTTGAAGTCTGAGCTCAACAACAATCAAAGTGCTTAGAGACCAAAAAAAAAATCGTACTTTCAGTCTTAGATTCTTCATCATTCGTTTCACCACCTGTAAAGAAACATGAGTATTATAATAATTTGTGACTTCCAGTTCTCATTGAACGTCTCATCATGCTGTTGTGCTACTAAGGAAAGCTTACCTTCAAATCTTAACTCTACTGCATTGGAAATAATAATATGCACATCCATGTAAAATCCACAGAAATACAGCCCAACATCAGATAAACCCACTTCTGTCATTTTAAGAAAGACAGAAGTGACATTCGAACTCATATTGAATTTTCCATTTTGAAATCCATCACAGAAAGAGGCTTGGCCATGAGACCCAAACATAGATGAGATGCAGCTCGTTTTAGTCGTGTTGATCACTCTGAACCACTCTGTATGTGTTGGACTTGTGGAAATGTTGGAGCACTGCAGTGTGACGTCTTCGCCACGCTGGACCGTCACAGTGTGAACCTCAGAGCCAGAGATAAAGATCCATCCTGAATCAAACAACAAAGACAAAATGAGATTCAACTCAAAGTGTACGGTACAACAGACGCTGTAACAGGGCAACAACTTTTCATTTGATTTAATTAAATCACTGCTTTCTAAACTCAAATTTAAAAACTCTTGGGCTCCTCGTCCCATTACTTATTTTAAGGTGAGAGTAGTAATATGCCAGTACTTACTGAGGCTGCAGAAAATCAAAGCTGTTATCAAGACGAAGCTCCTCATCGTGTGTTTAATCCTTCACTGCTCGGACAGTTAGTGAACCATGCAGCTTTTATAAAGGGGTTTAGAGGGGCGGGGTGATTTAGTTTGTCATCTTGCCAATGAACTACAAAGGCAATGCAATGCATTTACATATCTTTTAGCACTGGCTAATATCAAACAACATTAAAGTAGTTTGTTTATTTGTTTGTTTATTTCTTATTTTGTGTTATGATATTCACACTCTTAGGATCCAGTCTTTTATCTGTTTTTTGATCAAGTATCTTATTTTAGTCCCTTAAGATCTGGTGCAGCATATAAAGGAAAACAAAAATGGGGATCAATAGTGTTTTTAAAATTTAATATACTTTTCACATAGGATGTTTGCATTCAGTAGACCTAAGTTAAAGCTCATTTTATATATCCTAAAGTTGTCAAATTATTTAAAGCTGTTTAACCCTGTAGTTGTTTTCCCATACTTTCTGTGAGCTTTTGCAATCAGAATTATGCAGATAACCCTGCAAAGTTGATAGACGATGCATGCAAATCACATGACCAATTTAAGATGATATAGCACCCTTGATAAGTCTTCGTTTTAACTTGTGTTGAAAGTGCAGACTTCAAACTACCAAGTAATAAAGGTCAAGTAAAAACAAAGTTATGATAAATAATTCACACCATACTTTGTCTCAATACTATCATCATTTAGTACAAGAAAAAAACTTAAACAAAAGTATTTTCTAAGAAACATGACTTAGTTAATAATCTTAAAGATGTAGGGATGTAGATCGACCAGTAAATTGAGAGCCTCACTCTTGCACTCTTATCACCACGACTGACCAGTACAGCATCCGCGTCACTGCAGCCGTAGCACCTATCTATCCATTGATTTCCCCCTCCCCCCACTTGTGGACAAGATCAAAAGACATCCTCCACTTGAGGCAACAGCTCATCTCTGATCCGAAGCGGGCACTCAACCCTTTTCCGGTTGAGGACCATGGCATCAGACTTGGAGATGCTGTTTCTCATTCCCACAATTTCACATTCCAACAGAACCACATCATCTGCGAAAAGCAGAAACAAGATTCTCAAACTATCTTGAAAATTTCTGCCACTTGGCTATGCGAGAAATTCTGTCCATAAAAAAAATATTTAAAAAACTAGTGACAAGGGGTAGTCCTAGCAGTCCAGGAACATGTCTACATCGCCACTGACACCGGCCTCCTGCTAAGTAGGGCTGGGTATCGTCACTGATTTCTATAATCTATTGGATAACAAGGTCCTGAATCGATTTGATCCATGATTCGATTCGATTCGATTCGATTCGATTCTTTTTTTTTTTTTTTTGCCTGTCCCGTTTGGCTCTTTTGCCATCAGAATTGTTGTCTAAAGGCAAACAAAGATGCCCAACGGATTTACTTTACCAAATTGACCATCCCAGCCTTGCCGTAATGGTCCATTTGATTCACCTTTTATTGTTTATTTTATTTTCACTTACTGAATACGGGACAGACTTGACTGGGGGAAAGAAGGGGAGAAAGAAAGAGGGAAAGAGAAACAGCTGAGAAGAGGGACGGGGAGAAGGGCAATAAACATAAACCAACAGAACGGGCAGAGAAAAAAAATGCATATATCAATCACCTGGATCACCTGCTGAGAAAGAAAAAAGAAAGCAAGCAGAAGAGAACAAGAGTAATAGAATAAACAACATCACAATGATATATGGGAATATGACAGTAAATACTAAATGTTAAACATTATTGTGCAGCACATAAGATCAACAGAACACAGTGTGCTTTGAGGTAGGAGCCAAAAAGGGTGTAGTTTGTGGGTGTGATCACCCGTGTGTACACCTGTGAGCATGGACGCGCTTGTTTTTTGTTTTTTTAAAAGGTTCCTTCATGTAATAATCTGCTCGAAGGTGTGGGGGGGGCCACAGCCCCGTCCTCCAGGGCATGAAGCAGGTATGGAGGAGATCAAAACTCCAGACATCCAGAGGCCCCCAGAACACAAGAGACCAAGGAAGACCAACAGAGGGGCAGCCGCGTCACTGTCCCAGAAAGAGCTGAGGAGAGTCCCAGATGAGGGCTCACTTAGCAGCCGCGGAGCAGAAGCCAGGGGGAGTTGCAGTGACGTGCCCGTGAGCTCCGCAGGCAGCCAGCCGTGCCTGAGTGACCGAGCCCCAGGCCGAGAGGCCGGGGCACCCCACCTCCGAAGTGGCCCGAGCGAGCCCCAGGCTCCAAGCCCCGATAAGCGGCCGCCAAGGAGTGAGCCGGTGTGTACCTGGACGCCCATCCCCGGACACAAAGAACCACCAACGCACCGATGTCTGAGGGAGTCCGCCACTGGCAGGGGAAGTGGTGGTAGGGGGAGATAGACCTCAAAACTTTGGAGGGCCTGAGATGTCCCCAGAGAGGTGGCGCCTGACACCCAATCTGACATATAGACACAGACATACAGGCACACACAGATACAAACATCCATTCCCACCCTCATGCTCTCATATGCACTTACTCCACACTCAACCAACGTGGAGACAGACATAAAGAGACGCTGTACACACGATCACACTCCCCAAGCGTACTCTACAAACCGGGTCTAGGTACCCTTGCCCCTGGAGGGGGGAACTGCACCCAGACCCAGGTGGTGTTTCCCTTTTCCTTGCGGTGGGGGGAGGCAGACCGCCCCGACTCCGCAGCAGCAGGAAGGCCCCACACTCCAGACCGCAGTCGGACGGCCAACTCCTCCTCCTAGCCCCCCCGCTCCAGCAGGTCACAGAGAATGGGGGTGAGAGAAGACTCCAAACCTCCCTCCACCCGCTCATTGTAGTGTTGATGCATGTGTGTTCTAAGGTGCAATTAAAACCCAGGAGGGCATGGAGCTACCTGCCAGAGAGCAGCAGGTAAGGTCCCTCCTGCTAGCCCTCAATGTCTACGTGTATTTACAATTGAGAGGTGGGCAACGACGCCAGGGGTGGGGTGTACACCCTGATGGTACTTTGGATTCCGTGTATCGTGCCCACCCCCAAGATCCTATATGTATGTGTAATGAGAGTGTGAGTAATGTGAATGTCTAAGTTGTGGGATAAAATTGAGGCAGAGGCAGCCAGAAGGGGACAGAGATTCTTGGAAATTTTGCCTCAGACAGTGAGAAATATTATAATTCAGATCACGCATCAGTACATTTCCATAAAAAGAAAGCTGACACTTGCGAGACTTTATCAAAGGTGTGAGCATCACAGCAGATGAGCTGAGGATAAAACAAAGAAAAACATGAAGGTGATTTTCCTGGGATTTTATAAAAAATATTCTGCAGTAGATCAAAAATGAAAGAAAACCATTAATCAACATATGAACATTACCTAATGCTGCTGAAGTGAAGCAGAGCAAAGTTAAAGAGGTTTAATTAGAGATACAGCTAAGAGTTTTGCAATTTTGCATAATTTTAAAAAGTTTAAATTTGTTCACTAGCCTATTGAACAACAGAAATGGGGTTTTCTTTTCGGAAGTAAGTAAAAGAAAAAAAAAAACACAGCGTCCGACAGCGCTGTAAATAACAGTAGACTTGTGCACAACAAGCAAGTGAATAATGCAGAAAACAGATTTTTAGACGGGAAACTGTTCTTGAAGTGTACTGAGAGAGAGAGAGAGAGAGAGAGAGAGCTGTGCATGAAGTGTGGTGGAAGCAAAACAGTAAAAGTCAGAGGGAATTCATGATGATGTTTATGTGAAGCGTAGTTTGGATCTTTTGCTGCTGGTTCAGTCAATATTGTTTGGAGAGAGATAAAACCTACAGCTTCAGAATCAGCGCAAAAAGGGCGTAAACAACGCGCGGACCCGCCGAAACATCAGAATCAGCGAGCTGTCAGCTTTAAGCCCCGACCGTGTCCGTGCTGTCATGTGAGAAAGGCGACATCTCACTGATTCTGAACCGTCAGCGGGTCCGTGCTTTGTGTTTACGTCTATGTGCAGAATCCGTGTACCTGCTCTCATTTACTGTTTTAGCTGTTTGGTGGTTGTTGAAATTTTGTGAGGTTTAACCTGAAATTCTGGCATTTCGGGCAAAATAAATTTATATAAAAAAATCAATTCAGGATTTAAATGAATCGATATCATGTTATCCAAGCTAGAATTGATTTTAATCGATAAATCGATAATCAAAACCCACCCCTACTGCTAAGCCACCTGTAGCTCTGTTGTCAACATTCTCCTGTCAAGCCACGCAAGGCTTCATGTTTCTGATGATGGCGACTTGCCAAACCCGAAGATCAGGCCACCTGAACTGCCTTTGGGTTTTTTTGTTTGTTTTTTTTGGACTCTTGTGCTTCAGATTGTCTTTGTTCAATTCTTAATCTAACAAATGTACTTCTGGAAGAATGGTCAAAACTACCCATAAATACACACCTAAACCTTGTAAAAGCCTTCCCAGAAGGTGGAAAGGGTGGGCTGGCATCACATTAGACAGCCAGTTAAGGCTTTGTCAGGAGAGGAAGGAGGAGTAATGCTGACTCTGGCATGCTGGGTTTTAATAACAAAGAAAGAACGTGAAAAGTGAGAAAGATTGAAAAAACAAAAGAAACAGTTCTTTCAGAAGTAAAAAGTTTGGACCAGTTGGATGGGATACTATACACAGTATATGCACTACCAGTCAAAAGTTTGGAAACACCGTCTCATTTAATGTTTTTTCTTTATTTTTACCTCTTTTCTACATTGTAGATACGAACTGAAGACATCAAATATATGAAACAGGAAATTTGGAATTATGTAGCAAAGAAACAATTGATAAATATCTCATGAATAAATAAATATGCTTTATTTTAGATTCCTGAAAGTAGCCACCTTTTGCTTTGTCGATAATATTGCAAACCCTTGGCCTTCTCTCAATGAGCTTCATGATGTAGTCACCTGAAATAATTTTCTCTTTTTCTGTGGTGGAAAAGTCAGGTTGGTACACAGCTGACAGCAGTATTTTGACAACTTCATAATATAGCAAGAACCAATCAGGTCAATTGGTCCAGAAAATTGCAAATTGTAAATGTGTGCAGTTGCAAAAACCATCAACTACTCCTAAAAACTGTCCTCAACTAGACCTCAACTATGTCCAACAGTCGCTGTTTATTGAATCTGATTTGTGGGTTCAACCAGCCCCACGCTATGACAGAGGTCCAATAATGTCTGGTAGTGCCAGATGGATTTGACACATTGGGATAAAAGGACAAAGCTGAAAGAGCAGTTCAACACACTGATCTCCAATTGAAGCTCCTGCACATTGGATCTGCAGTAGAGACTGACAATCATACACCTGGTAAGCAGAAATGTTATTACACCACCAGCAAGAAAACCAACAACAGAACAAAAGCAACAACAAAGTCAAATCTGGGTCTTTTACCCCAACAGAGCAAACAGGCAGAGAGGTTTTTATTACTCTTCAATTATTGCGTAAAAATGTAACTAAAAGTTACAGCTGCTTACGTTTCTTTAAGCAGGTGTGCTGGGGTCCTCCTAAGGAAAGTTTGAAACTTCATTTCCTTCATGCTGGTGAACTTTTTACCAAATATTTTCATCAAAGCTTCTCCATCACTGACAGGGATTGTTTGGATCTTCACACTCATCTCCACCAACCCTAAAAAATGAGTCTCACTTTGCTCATATAATGCCAGGAGTGTCTCCATATTCCACAAAAGTCTATGCAAACATGTAACAGTATCCCATATTCATAGAAATATTATTGATATTATAACAAAAGCTGTCACCAACACAATTGTCCCAAGTGCTTTTTTTATTAGTTATTGCAAATGCTTGATTGCAGTTCTTGCTAGATGACAAAACCACTTATTAGGTTTAGAAGGAAATGACTTTTTCTACATGAGGTAAAGTTGGAGAGCTGTTTCCCCAAACTAAATGAAATCAGCATTTAAAAAACTACAATCTGTATTTACTCTGAACATCTGTGTTAACATTTGAAATTGGAAACATGTAAGTGTAACAAACATGTTAAAACATAAGAAATCAGGAAGGGGCATGTATAGGAATTTCTTTTACTTATGCATTAATCACATTATTTTATTGTATGATACCTTGGTGTCAATGGATTTTAACATGTCTCACACTCATACAGTAAGACAAATGCAAATTCCTCTACTGTAAAAATTCATTTGACTGCCTGCAAAAAAGGAACTGTACAGTGCTCTTCCTCTTTTTAATAAAAATATAAGTAGAGCACAGGAAATATGTGGCACTCTGCCCTAAACATTTAGGATAAAGTATGGCAGTGAGAGAGAGTAAAGAGTTATAGGATCTCTGCTTTGAGCCACTAAAACTCCTAATATTAGCTATTCCCGCCACATCAGGCAGCTTTTTGATGATTAAATTTACTGCAACTGGAAATTCACTTTAATATCCAGTAAATTACATGCGACAAATGTTACTGAATGAAACTGATGTTATCAAAATGTCTAAACATAACAACCGGTTTAAATTAGAACTATGTCACCTTTATACTTCCTGAAGGGCTTGGAAACCTTGTGATTTTAACCTCAGTTGGGCTCAGACCACACAGTGTTGTCTCTTCCTGTTAAAATGTATTTCTACTCTCCCACAACAGAGCATTAGACTCTCCCCAAAAGAAAGCTTCACAATCGGTGTAAGACCATTGACTTCTCCCTCATCAACATACTTTAAGAGTAGTGTTTTCCCCCTCCAACAAAAGGTGGACAAATAAAAAAGACAATGACACAAAAGTAAAGATACAAACACAACTTGAATGCAAATTTTATTTGTTTTATTTTTTGCCATATCCTCCACAAAACAAAACCTTATCTGCAGGTTATCACAAAGCACGAGTCTATCTGGTGGCAGCGTACACAACATGTGGCTCCAGCTCTCTCTGTGTCACAGGCCTCCGGTTTCTTTGGACGTTTTTCTGGAAGTTGAGAGCTGCGTAGTTCAGATCGTCTGAGCTCACATTCTGAAAACCAGAATATTTACACAGCTGAGTTTGCTACGTATATATCACGTATTTGCTGATATGTGGGTTAAACCAAAAATGATTTTACATAAAATGTGATTTTTAGAGTTTAATACTAAAACATCATACTGGAAGAACACCTGTGCTGTCCAGTGTTAAACACAATTCAATTAGATTATACAGTAAAAAAAGAGTTTAGCTTCAGTAACATAGGCCAGAAATTGGAACTAATGCAGCTATGTAGGTAAAGATGTCTTTTAAAAAAAACATTTTCAGAGAAGAAAACAAAAATCTTCAGAAGAAGGAAACTACTGAGCAGGGATAGCTCAGTAGGTAGAGTGGTTGCCCTACAATTGGGAGGTCGGGGGTTCAAATCCACTGAACAGCTACCCTGAGATACCCTTGAGCAAGGTACCGTCCCTACACACTGCTCCCCGGGCGCCTGCTTAGTGGCTGCCCTCTGCTTCACTGAGTGTATGGGTCAAATGCAGAGGAAAAACAAGCAATTTCCACATGGGGATCAATAAAGTATACATTATTAATTCTACAGTTACCATGACAAACTCTTAGACACTTCTCTTTCCAACATTAATATATCATGACATATTGGTTGCGCATTCTAAGGAAAAAGAAAACAACAGGAACAACAAAAAACAAATAAACATTTACCTTGTTGCTTTTTGGTTCTTGTTCTGCCACTAAATACCAAATACAAAAGTGTCATTAGTTCATTATTACCAGCGTACAAGAGGAGGTACAAGATTTACCTGCCAAAAAGAAGTGAAACAAATTAAAGCCATGTGTACCTTTTTGAAGTTTCCAGATTTTAAAAACCAGAATAATAACCACTATAGTGAGTAAACCAGCCAGACTACCCAGGATGGTGCTTAGCAGGTGTGTCATTCTGTCAGACTCTTCTGCAAAAAACAAATACAAACAAAAACCCATCAGTCCACTTTAGTTGGATTGATTGAAACATAATATTGATATTAACTTTTAGCACATTGAACAGCAAAATTTTAGAAGCCATAAAATAATTTTACTTTCCGTCTTAAAACCCTCTCCTTCATTGGTTTCACCGCCTGTAAAGAAACATGGCTATTATAATATTTTGTGATTTCCTTTTTGTCTCTGAGCTGATTTTGGATTACGTATGAACATCAAACTAACCTGGAGGACAAAAGTCCTCCCTACAAGCTTACCTTGAATTCTTAACTCGACTGCATTGGAAATGACAGTATGCTTATTCACATAAAATCCACAGAAATACAGCCCGACATCAGATAAATCCACTTGTGTGATTTTAAGAAACACAGAGGTGTTGTTGGAACTCATATTGAATTTTCCATTTCGAAATCCATCACAGAATGAAGCTTTGCCTTGAGATCCATACATAGCAGCAATGCAGCTGGGCTTAGTTCTGTTGATAACTTTGAACCAGTCTGTCTGTGTTGGATGACTCGAAATGTTGGAGCACTTCAACGTGACTTCTTCATCAAGTTGGACCTCCATAGTCTGAAACTCAGAACCTGAAACAGAGATCCAGCCTGGAATGAAAGAACATGATGTTTATGTCTGAACCTACAGTGTTACAGGACAACAACATCAACTACATTTGTTTACCGGCGTTTCTCATTCCATTATTTGAGAGTACTGAGGTGCCAGTACTTACTGAGGCTGGAGAGAAATAAAGCTGTGCTCAAGACGAAGCTCCTCATCATGCGTTTAATCCTGTAACTGCATGGATAGTTTGTATCACACAGCTCTTATATGGGGGTTAAGAGGGGCGGGGAGTCTTTTGTTTGTGTGTGTGTGTGTGTGTTGGCTTTATATTTTGTGTTTCATCTTGCCATTGCCGCCCTATACAATGCAATAGCTTTGCATGTTTTAGCTTAAGCGAATATCCATTAACATAAAACTTCCACTTTATCATTTTACATTATGTCTGCTTGAGATACGATTTTCAGAAAATTATACAAATACTTAAAAATCCAGTCTGCAGCTTCTGCAGTTAGAAGTATTTATGTGTTTCTAGTCCTTAAAGGTCTAAAAGGAAGCAAGAAGGGGGTACATTGGTTTTATGCTTGGTGCATTTATTAAGGATCCCATTTATCATGTATTATAATGTCTTATAATCCAAACTTCAGCTCTAAATTGTCTTTGATCTAGTGACACAAGACACAAAATAGAAAATATGAAATGTACACAAGTATTCACGACCTTTCCTCAATACTTGAAGCGCTTTTGGCAAGCTCAAGCTGCATCAGACTGGACGGGGAGGATTGTGCGCAGCTATTTTCAGATCTCTCCAAAGACATTCGGTCGAGTTCAAGTCTGGGCTCTGGATGAGCTCCTCAAAGACATTCGCAGAGTGGTCCAAAAGCCACTGTTTTCTTGTCTTGGATTTCTGCTTAAGTTTTTTGGCCTGTTGGAAGATGAGCCTTTGCTCCAGTCCGAGGACCACAGTGCTCTGGAGCAAGTTAATATCAATGATGACTTCGTACATTGCTGCATTTATCTTTCCCTCGACCTTGACAAGTCTCCCAGTTCCCACAATATAATGTTGCTACCACCATGCTTCATTGTAGGGATAGTATCCTTGTAGCATTATTCTCAAAAAGACTTGTGGCTGTAATTGCTGTCAAAGGTCCTTCAACAAAGTATGGAGCAAAGGCTATAAATTCTTATGTATATGTTATCCTTGACCTAGCTTTGACCCAATATTGGTCATGTGAAACATCACATAAGCCAAGATGAGAAAAAAGGCATGAGCAGTTACCATCACTCATGGTCAAGGGTGAAACGTCTGTGAGACCTTGCCCCACCTCATCATGTGACTTATTAAAGTTACTGGAGGCAAGATATGAAGAAGAGGTTGAATTTGAAGGGAAGGGATCATAAGACTGGATTATAAGTGGCTGACAGCTGGTGTTGTAAGCCACCACCTCTGTTCAATGGCATTCTTGAAAATATTGCTTTGCATTTTGTACAGATATGACCTTTTTACTCTAGTATCACCATGAATATGACTTTTGTGGTTCCAGTATGTCCTTAACCTGCTGTTTGAGCTCTTAGGTATAAGAATACCAGTCCTTTATTCTATGTTGTTTTTTTGTTCACATTGTGGTGGCACGAAGGAGGATAACCAGTGAAGGTGACTAAGGCATGTTGACAACACCACCTGGGGAGGGAGCTACCCCGCACGAGAGATTTCTATAGCCAATGTGGATGTTATACTAGCTACCAAAGCCCACAGGCTCGTTATTAGCAAGCAGAGGTGAGGCAGATCAATTTTACAAATCAAAATTTATTAGGAAAAACTATTAAAAGCATAGAACTGTAAAATCAGAGAACTTCTTAAGGTAGCAAGGCTGAGAATGCAAGACTGTTAATTAAAGCACTTTATTAACAAACAATGATTAAAACGACAAGGCTCGCTGCCACAGTGCTACCCTAGTAAAATAGAAGCTCGATAGAATAACTAAACAAAATGGTGAAGACCGGCCACTTGAGGAGGCAGCCTACAGAGAGGAGTGCCCAAGGGTGCCACCAATTACTCACCCGTGTAGTTCCACTGCAAACCTCACTGTCACTCACACTGCAATCTAAGTGGTGCAATCTACCTATTCCTGCTGTGTACACTCTCATGCATCAGGGGGGTATTCCACCTCACGTGGCTAACCCCACAGCAAGAGGCCGTACCTCCACTAAAGCAACAAAACAACAAAACATATACAATATTAAACAATTCAGTAAAAGAGATAAACAAAACAAATACACCCTAAGATACACTTCTTTATAAAAGCATGATTAAAAGACCATGAAACCATGAGTCAGTCAAGGCCAGTCCATAAACTTTTATAAAATGACAACAAGACTGAAAAAAGACAGCAGCAGTGGCACAATCCACTCTCTAGAGGGCAATACTGAAATGAGCAGCTTTCCTGAAGAAACAAACTGCACTGCAGTGCTTAGCCATCTATCACGCTCGGCCACCTTGGATGTGAAAAGTTAACCAAATTCTCCGTGTGGTAGTGAAGCGCAGCTGTTTCTTATAAGGCCTCTAATTATCTGCTGGGAAGGTGTGGATGTTAGCGCTGCATTCGCGGACGTCATGTAAAAGCCTATCCAAAATCTACTTCACTACAACAAGCTAAACAATTTCAGTGAATACCTGAAAATATTTGGCTCTTGACCAGACTATGGACAAAGGTCTTCGCTTTGTATAAGTTCAAAGCATAAATACTTTACATGTTTACCTTCACACAAGTAATGTGACAGTGAGTGAAGTGATTTACCATTGTCAGGTGAGACTGGTATATCCTTTAAACGGAACTGTGTGTTTGTGGTTTCTGGTGAATACGTTATTTTTGGCTCACATAGTATTCGCACATAGTCACTTCTGGGCACTGGCATATTCTGTGATTATTTTATAGTATTTAAGATGTATAAATATAGCCGCTGGTTTTAATAGATCATATTAATGTTGATTTTATACTTTTTTAAAGCATTTTTTACTATCGAAGCCTCATGATTGTCACCTCAGTTGCGCCCAGACCACATGTTGCTCTTTCTTCCTGTCAGACGTCAGACTGACATATGTATGTCACTCCACCCACAGCAGACCATTAGATTCTCCCACGAGGAAGTCAACAGACATCACTCTCATTTCTGACTCACTCACTATAATCACTTAAAGTTTTTTTTTTAATTTTATTTTTTTATCACAAAAAATCATCTGAAAATAACAAAAAAGCAGAGGATGCAAATATGGACTGGATGCACATTTATTTAGTTATTTTGTAAGACATTTATGTGAACCACGACACATACAAACAAAAAGAAAAAAATCATCAGAAAATTAACAGGAATAAGGTATATTCTGTTCAGAGCTTGAGCTGCAGGCGCTTCCTCAGTCTATCTTGTAGCAGCATACACAACATGAGGCTCCTGCTCTCTCTGCGCCACAGGCCTGCAGCTTCTTTTGGTCTTTTTCTGGAAATTCAGAGCTGCGTAGTTCAGATTGTCTGAAGTCATGTTCTGAAAATCAGGATATTTAGTTAAACACTATATGAGACAACCAAGGTGGATTTGTGGGTTATGTGAGTTTCAGAGTGAGATTTTTAGAGGTAAATATAAATAAAAATGAGAAACCACATATACAGTACAAATTATTTTCTTTCTTTTTTTTTTCCGTTTTGATTGAAAAAGTTAAAAAAAAAGTCCTTTTGGAAAAATAAACGTGTTTAAAAAGCTTCCCAGACAGGAAATATGTCATAAGGACAAACTCTTCACAGTGAACGCGTCAGCTAGCATTTTACCCACATTACATTTTAGAGTTATAATTGGAGTTTTGCAAACTATAGATTTTGCCTGTTTTTAAAAAAACAAACAAAAAAAATTAACTTTTTATTTAGTCTAGATGAACTATTACTAAATAATTTAAAGTTATTAAGTTTTTCTACCTTTCTGATATTACTTAAAGTTAAAGACAATAAAAGATTACAATTGCTTGCTTGGGTTTACTCTATGAAGCAGCAGGTTGAGGCTATTCACAGAGTAATTAGGCATTTCAATGAAGCTTTTGAATCACAGAAAACAGTTGTTAGTTGTAAAAAAAGAAGAAAAACTCAAAAAGTGAGTTTACCTTGTTATTTTCTTCTTGCTCTCCAGCAGCTAAATGGAAATACCAAAAATTATTGCTTGTTATTAACAACCAAATACATTGTTTTGGACAGGTTAATCAGTTTAGAAGATGAGTGAAGTAATTTGTAAGTAACCTCACCTTTTTGAGATTTCCAGATTTTTAGAACCAGAACAACGACCACTAAAGTGAGCAGACCTGTCAGACCTCCAAGGGCGATGATTATGAGGTTTGTCGTTCCACTGGGCTCTTCTACAAAAATAATTAGATAAAAAACATAATTTTTATGATTACTTTATTGATGATAGTGAAATAACTACATGGAAACTGAAAAACATCTTTTGAAACAAAAAAATCAATCTTACGATCAGTCTTATTAAAATCCTCCTCTTCTCTGGGTTCACTGCCTGTAAAGAATCATCGTTATAATATCATTTTGTGATCGCATGACATGTTTTCATGCTAACCATGATCAAGAAACGAAACAAAAATATCTAAATCATGAACAAATGAACAAACCTTCAATTCTTAACTCGACTGCATTAGAAATGATTGTGTGCCCACTGATGTACAATCCACAGAAATACAGCCCGGCATCAGATAAATCCACTCGTTTGATTTGAAGGAAGACAAAAGAGACGTTGGAACTCATAGTAAAATTTCTGTTTCTAAATCCATGACAGAACGACGCTTCGCTGTCAGAGCCATACATAGAAGAAACACAGCTGGGCTTAGTTTTATTGACCACTCTGAACCAGTCTGTCTGTGTTGGATAGGCGGAAATGTTGGAACACTGCAGTGTGACCTCGTCCCCGTGCTGGACCTCCACAGTCTGAAACTCAGAAGCTGAGATCCAGCCTGAAACAGAAAAACAGATACAACATAACACTGATTTATGTAATGGACAGATAGAATTACATTTGTTTAATATTAAATCAGAATAATGATATGCTGTACTTACTGCGGCTGCAGAAAGCCACTGCTGTTATTAAAGTGAACCTCCTCATTCTGCGTGTAACCGTCTTACAGTCAGGAAACTTTATGTTCTGTAGGGGGGTTTCATTTCATTAGAAAGGGGTGTGGTATTGAATACATCATGCCAGGAGATTTGAATCTACACAGCCTATTTTCATCAGTACCGTTTAAAATGTCAGGCAGCAATTCATTCACGCTCGTGCAGGTTTATAGAAGAGTTATCGACGCCTTGTGTGGAAGTAACAGCACACCAGAAAGTGAGACAATAAACATGAATCTGGTGCTGTGCTTTATTGGCAAGAGAAGTTGTTTTGAAGGTATGCAAGACTCTTATTTGGGTACTCCCCCCACGCGCTAAGAAACCAGCTTATTCCACTTATGTCCAACTGCAAATATTCACTTCTGTTTCTTATTGCAGCCCATGAGCGTCTTATTTGTCCTCATAAAGATTCAGGTTATCCATTCTTTGCTACACAAGTAGATGATGATACTTCCTCTTTCTGTTTGCTGCTAATCATTATCAAACTTACCAAAGCAGCATAGTGTCAATAGTACTCAGTCAGCTATGTAGCCTTTTGGGATACCAGTGCCCAGTATGGAGGGGGTCAAAGGTGAACAGCCACAAACACTCTGAGGCACTAATGTTTATTCAATATTTGTTAGTAAGAACGCTTTTTAATAGTTCATTCTGTTCTATCTCGTGTTTCATGAACAACATGTTCCAACATGTTCTTTTTTTCAGCTCTTTTTTAATGTAGTTATCACAACCTCTGTTTCCTTGTCATGTCTAGGTTATATCACTTAACTAAACAGTGGATGTATAATAACATATAATAATAATAATAATAATAATAATAATAATAATAATAATAATAATAATAATAATAATAATTTCAAATTCCTTTAAATTTAAATATGTTTATATTGTCTATCCTGTAAAATAGTCAGATGTCTATTCATATTACTGTACAGAATTCACCTGCTTGCTGCTACTACTGCACATTCACCCAGTGTATATACTATATATATATATATATATAATGTTCCTCCTCTACACCCCCCCCCCACACAATTTTTGCACATGTCGAGGAGCGTGTCAGGCTACATTTCACTGTGTGTTATACTTGTATAACTATACATGTGACAAATAAAGAACCTTGAACCTTGAACCTTGAACACTGACCCCTCTAGCTGATTGCATGTCAATGAGGCCAGTAAGTTACGTTAGGTGCTTTCATGAAAAAATGAAAAATTTATTATCATTTATACTAAAAACAAATTGTTATGCTCACTGCTAGCTCTGGTATTTTATTCTTTAATACCAAATAATCTGTATTTATCTTATACTGGGTCTGATAGGCCCTTGGTTCATCCGCCATCTGAAATGAGTCTGCAGATTTTCTTGGGAGTTGCTGCCTTTTCTAAACAGAAAACTGACCTGAATGTGGGGCTTCTGTTCTTTTAGGGAGATGAGTTCTTGCTCACAGGTAGAAAACACTGGAGTGGAAGGAGCATTTTTTACATTCAATAATCTCATTTTATGAAACTTTGGATTTGTTTGATATGAGCATTCATATCAAACATATAATGCCATATACATGGAAGAAAATGGGAAAAGGGTTTATAGGCCTAGTTGAATATATGCAAATTTAGGTCTGTTAGAAAATCAGACAGTTTATATCACAAATAGCTCTGTTTGTGGATGCAGCTTCTAATACTCTATAAGACCTCCAAGAGTCTTCTTTATCAGCTGATTCTCTGAGATCATAGTCTGGCTCTATGAGTCAATCTCAGCAACACGACCACCTGACTCACCACACATTTCAGCTTGTTAGCTCTAGGAGGCACTCCAGATCTCTGTATACTTAAGAAGAGCTGAATTCCACTGCAGTAAATATTTAGCCTGAGTCAGTTTTACTGGTGTTTTAAACAGTTTGAACAACTTTTCACCAGGACATCATTCTTGTTGGTCTGAAAAGAACTTTGAATTTGCTCTCTGTGTCAAGTTCAATTAAACTGCATATAACTACATATAACTGACAAACAATATTAAATGTTTAGTAAACAAATGACTTCATGAGGACTTAAATATAAATTTGTTTCTCAAATATAAGTGTTTAGTCTCATATACATAGTTACAGTCAGGTATTACAAAAAAGACTTCCACGTATTTATTTTATTTTATTTTTTTTAATTTTAAAAATAGATAATATAACTGCATGACTATTTAAAAAGTGGAGAAATGTAGAATATATTTATTTGACATGTGTGGCTTTGCTGTTAAACAGATTTATTTTTCTATGACACTGAGACGGAAGTTTAAAACAACACACGGGGTGACCCTTTTAAGAACCAATCAAGAGTAACCCAGTTTTTATGCTGTTGGCTGCTCTTTTCCTCCAAATCTTCAGTTGACGAGACCTCTGAAAAGATGCATCTCTGTATCATCCTCTGTGGGATATGTAAGTGTCTCAGTAGAAGATTCATGTATATTGAGGTAGGGTTGTATTTTCATACCTGATTATGCTTCTTTAACAATGTGTATTTTTCTGACACAGTTCATCTGTCAGCTGTGATCCAGTCAGCTACAGTCAAGCAGGAGACTGGGGTGAGATTTGCTGCTGTTGGGGACAACGTGACTTTGCGTTGCTTTTATGAAAGCCAAGTGGCGATGCACTTCTCCTGGTACCGACAATTCTTAGGAAGCCAACCTAAGCGCCTCTCTACAATTTACAAATATGATAAGCCATCTGAAGTCCTCCACACATTGGAGAAGAACCCTCGTTTCTCTGTGGAAAGAAAGGAAGGGACCAATCATCTACAAATCTCTGGTGTCCGCCTCTCAGATTCAGCTACATACTACTGCGGGAGCTCTCACTCCAACATGGTGGAATTTGGAGAAGGGATCTTTCTGAGTGTTCGAGGTATTTTGCTTCTATTTTTCATGAACACCTTTTATTCCATGTTCCTTTAGCGTTCCCGTGCTTAGACTCCCCCACTCACTCCCTCCAGCTCTTCCAAGGGGACCCTGGGGCCTTCTCAAACCAGACAAAAGATTTACTCTTTCCATTGAGTCGTTGGTCTACCTTGTCTGAATGACCTCAACTGGCTTATTTTCTTTTTTTAAAATCCTTACCATCCAAAAAGATTCATGTTTTATTGTCTAAATATTATAACTGGTATGAACTGGTTCTTATGGAGCTTTTCTACTGTAACTGAGTACTCAAATCGCTTTAAACCAGCAGTCCCCAACCTTTTTTGTGCACGGACCGGTTTATGTCCGACAATGTTTTCACAGACTGGCTTTTAAGGTGTTGCAGATAAATACAACAAAATAAAACCAGTACCAGTACCAACCCCCCCCCCCCCAATATTTATTCATAACACACAGGAAAAGACCTATGGAAACCAAGTAAACAATAAAAATTTCACACGTGATGTGGATTTTTATATTTCTACTTACCTCCTTTGTTTTTTGTCCTCTCCACTTATTATTTTTTTTAGTTCACCTTTGCCTTATCAGCCTTTGTCTATTCAGTGTAGCCTACTGTGCATTTAGCTTATATTTTTTTTTCATCTAGCCAGTTAGCGAGTATATTTTTTTACCTGCCGTTATTGTGCATTTTTTTGGTTTTTGTTTATTTTGCAGTGTCCTTTTCTTTGAAAACCTGTTAATATTTTGTTGGTGTAGATTGGGAAGATCATCAACAGTATCTTCATTAATACATGCATATACATTCCAGATCTACAAAAAATGACACATAAAGCTACTTTCTCAAATTTCTACTTTTTTTCAGCAGCTAATCACCAGACAATTGACCAAGAACCAGCATCCATGACCATCCAAGTTGGTGACTCAGTGATGTTCAACTGTACAGTACACACTGGAACCTGTGACGAAGAACATAGCGTCTACTGGTTTAGACGCGGATCTCACCCAGGAATTGTTCACACATATATAAATACAAGTAAACCGGTCTCTGTGAAGTCTCCTTCACAAAGCTGTGTGTACCATTTGCAGAAAATGAACCTTAGCTCCGTTGATACTGGGACCTATTACTGTGCGGTGTCCTCCTGTGGGGAGATACTGTTTGGTAATGGAAGCAAGCTCATCATCAGCGATGATGTTAAAGACCGAGATGCTGAGGTAAAGATTTTGATGTGGCTCTCTATCATTAGAGCCGGGATTCTCTTGATCTTTCTACCCTTGTGTATTTGTGTATTTGTCAGAAAGAGCTGTTAATTCAGCAAACTTGTGTTACGCAAAACTTAAACACAAGTTTATTTGGTCAAGAAGAAAATAGATGAAGAGATGAACGGGTGTCAACATGTTCATGTACTCAGTCGCAATATTTGCCGTTGTACATTTTTATTTTTAGAATATAAGTTTATTACTGTAAAGACTTTTAAAAAATTGGACGCAATTAGTAACACCCACCCAGACACAGGGCATTTCAAAATCTGTATTATAGATTTCATACATTCGTTGTCATAATGATTGATTACATTTTCACATTGTGTTAGAGTTTGCTCATGTTTCATTTATATTAATTTTTTACATGACTGTATAAGTACCCTAAAGTGTGTAGTTAGTTTGTTGACCATCCCCGTGTATACACATATAGTTGTAACTGGAGTGATAATATGTTTGTTGCTTAATAATTGTTAAAAATAAAGACGTATCAAGAAACTTGAAATTTCTTGTTTGACTTGTTTCTTTTAGTAAATGAATTTAACCCCTTCATTCCTAATTCACAAACCATAAGCTCTCTCTCTCACACACACACACACACACACACACACACACACACACACACACACACACACACACACACAGCAAAATAATGCAAAGAACCAAATTTTTAAGACTGAGAATCCTTTGCAAACAGTAATAGTTAATTAGTAATCAGCAAGTTTCTAAGCAAAAACATAGCTTACTTTTCTTTACTCGTTGTTTGAGAAGGGGAGATGTCATTGTATTGCATATCATGCTTAAAACCACCGATGTGTAAGAATAAAGTGAATGTGGAGTTTCAAA